GGGATGTAATTCCCGTTATATCGGCGAAACTAGTCGCCACTTCTCTACTAGGATAAAGGAGCACACGGAAAGCGATAAAAACTCGCATATTTTTAAGGATTTCAACACATCTCCTTCTTGTAAGAACAAATACTCCCTTTCTTGCTTTAGAAATCTGGATTCTGCTAACAACTCAATTGATTTAAAACTCAAAGTAGCTTTTTATATAAATAAGATCAAACCTGAACTTAACAAACAATTACAGCATTATAACATTTTTCTAGCGTTTTAGTTCACACCTTTGATGTTTGGTGTCAGGTTGTAATTAGTACCCACTTTTGTATTACATTATACTGTAACTATTTTATTCATCTACTCGTCTGTTATATAATTGCTCACGTTCTGTTACTCATTGATTGAAGATGGCATAAGCAAGCCGAAAAATGTCTCTCAAAAAAGTTGTCTACTTCTTACAATATTTATCATACTTGCTACTACTACGAACTTCTCAACTAGCTGCAAATATAATACTAACAATAATAATGACAATAATAATAATGAAATAATAATGACAGTAATTGCAATAGTGAAAACTAAAATTCTCCTTATATTATTTCCTCGCAGTATTTGTAGTTACCTCGATACATGTATATGTGACAACCAGTTCGACAGTTTAACTTTTCTGGTTACATACCATGGTAATTAAGTTATAATATATATTCAGTAATTATAAATTATGGTGTGATATTAATACTGGTTTATTAATACCAGAGGTGATCTAAGTATAAATATGCCGGTGAAAGAAAAATTTAAATACATCTATGTTTAGTGATAATAAATATGTGCGTTGCAAGTTCCTGTGAGATTATTTGTTTGACTTTACAGAGATAGTTCGTGTTGCCTCCCTTGATTTTTATTGTGCATTATAAATCAAGGAAAAATAACTCTGACTATCATCCATGACTCTGCATTCTCACGTCTTAAAGCGTTCGAGATATATGCTTTGAAATAACAGCGCTGCGGAAGATTTCAACAAGATATTTCTCGACTGACAGCTATTTATTCTCGATCAGGCCTCATCTGTTTGACCATCTTTCTCATCATATCCCTGAAAAGGAAAAAATGAGGATTTCTTAAGTTGAGTGTCTCAGTTGGTAAGTGGGTGTCCGGGTAGATAGGTGGTCGGGTGTCTTGGTGAACGGGTCAGCAAGTGCCTGGGTGGATGAGAAAGTGTTTGTGTGGATGGGTGGGTGTCTGACGTAGGTAAGGGGGTGAGTAAATGGGTGTAAGAATGAATGAATAACTGTCCAGTTGAGTGGGTACGTGCAGGTTTCTGGGTGTACAAGAAGGTGTCTAATTGGATAGATATGTGCCTGGGTAGATGACCAAGTATCTTACTGTGAGGGGGTGGGGGGGGATGGTTACTGAAGTCAGTGGGTGTCAAGTGAGGTGAATGATTTTCACGGTTGATGAGAAGGTTTCTGAGTAGGAGGGTCTGTGTAGATTCTGAGCATCTGGGTGAACAGTGGCTTGGGCATCTGGGTGCAGGAGTTGACATTTTGGTGGATCAGACGTTACCTGACGGGGGGGAGGGTGGGCTTTAGGGAAGGTTTGAACATGTATAAGTGGGTACTGAACCAAACAAGCGAAAGGAAGAAGGAAATGAAATCACGACATTTACCTGATTGCATCAAGCTTCTCTTCCACTGACTCCCAGTGATGACGATCCTCAGTGAATTCAAGCAGTTCTAGAAACAAATCGAAAAATTCATGAACAAAATTTCAAAACCTCTAAGAACAAAGCAGGCCAAAGTAAGCGACGTTTAGTCTTTTGAAAAAGGATCTCATGTAACGATACTGGCTGAAATGTTTCCATATTTTGTGGATGAGAAGATGGTCCAATATATTCTTTTTAACCAACAAAGGAGCGAGCTGAAGAAAAACCAAATGAAAGCAAATCAGTCATACTCCCGGGGTTTAAATTAAAATCTCCCTTAGCCCAAACCTTTTGCAAGTTTTATTTCACTGATCCAGTCTCCTTCTTTGTAATACTTCACGCGTAGATTCTGCAGAGAGAAAAGTAATTAGGATGAAATACTAACAGCGCAGTACCGCTATCTCAGCTCTGAACTCTCTTATATGCTCTCGTACTCAAAACTCATGAGCGCAATGTGCCTCAATAAATTTATTTGCGCTGCCATTTACATACCAGAAAAGGAAACCTCTCCATGCGGGTGAGCAGTGATATCCGATCCACATCATATTCCAGACGGGCGATTTTCTTGGCCTGGGTGTAGGTCGTACTCATCTGTGCAATGAGTATGTTGAGCAGAATCACAATCACAGTCCCCATGTACGATAACATCAACAGAATCGACAGCCAGCTGCAAAAGAAACAGAATCGCAGAGTTTGGCGACAATAAAAAACAAAACAAAACAAAACAAACGTATGAGCAATATTTTGTACTTATTTTCAATCAGTTTTAATCTTTTCCAACCTAAGCCCTACACGTTCGCTTCACAAATTTTCTTTCCATTTTGATCGTTTCTGTCCCATCAATTAATGTTTTCAAGTTTTCTTCACCGTATTGAAAAAAAGTTCACATATTCTTCATCGATTGTTGGGTGAAGTTAGAAGTCAGTTTCACTTACTTGAAAGTTGAGTAATCTTCCGCGATCGGTTGCTGTTCGGACAGTGCACGAAATCCACTCAACAAAACTTCTTCAAAACCACTGTAAAATGCAAGAAAAAAAAATCAGCTTCTGTTTCATTTTAAGAGAAACGATGGCATACATTGAACACACACCTGAATTGCTGATTTTGCTTGGAAGACTGAAGAGACAAAAACAAGGCCCCACAGAATGATAGAAACACAACAGCAAAAACTGCCATAAATCTCGTTACGTCTTCCTGAATGATCTTAGCCAAGGTCTTTGTGTACAGCCCTGTGGTCCTGGAAAAGAGAGATAAAACAACTAAGCTGCATAAAGGTGAATTTTGATAAATTTGTCCGCAAAAGTGAATTACGAATGAGTGTTGTGGAACAAACCAAAGTAGCGACCAATCGGACCGAAGGAAGCTATCGTAAGGAGTCAATGGGAAGTCAGAGTGAATACGTGTTTAGGGACTGAACCTAATAAGCGCGGGAAAAAGCAAGTTACCAAGTCGCACTTGGTTTAAAATTTGCATTTGACTGGCGGAGAACTTGGTACGATTTTTTTTGTGACCAGTTACGGAGAGAAAACAGCAAAACCAATAAAACCAATACAATTTTGGATCACTTTGGACACTCAGCTGAAATTTGCATAAATCAACTAGGTGAATACAGAAAAACAAAGAGGGTTTCTTACCTTGTTACACAAGAAAACTTAAAAATCCTCAGGAAGTTGAACAGGAACGCTAAAGATGCCACTCTCCACTGTGCTTTGTTATCAGTGTACCGTAAAGGTATTATACACAAGATCAACACCAAGCCTAACCAGTCAAACAGGTTCATCCACTCTCTGAAGTATGAGTGCCACTCTCTGTTAAAAGATAAAGATAAAAAAGAGTGTTTCAGAGATTGGCAGTGTCTTCAACTCACTAGATCATAGCATACCTATGATGCTCACATAACTTTCCTACATCACAAACTTGCTTTCAGACAGGGACACTGATTTCAATTTTAATGTATAGTCGGAAAAAAATCCAAGTTCCAGATGGGATTTGGATTTTTTCCGACTATACATTAACATTGTTATTCGTTTCATCTTACATGGACACTGATTTCATTACGACAAAACAATAATGTAAAGAAGCAACTTACTTTCTCATTTGATTAATTTCTTCACAGATATAGAAGACAACCATAAGAAGGGTGACAACTTCACAAAATCCTTGCAGTGAATCAGCAGCATCCCTGTATTGGGTAGGGTCCAGTTTGGTAGAGCCATAAATCAGAGCGTAGGACAGGAAAAGCAAGTAGATGACATACAATGCTGCATGAAGACTGGAAAGAACATAAGATTAACTCAGAATTGTGCCATCTTTTGAGATGTCCACCATAATTGGCAATTCAGATAGCAAGTGCTTCCTAAGATTTTATGAAAAAGGTGTGTGTATAATGATTTTTATATTGTCCCACAAATGTGGCATGCTTACCTGAGAAACCAATGTCCAAAACTGTTCCATTTTGTTTTTATCAACATTCTGACCACAGGATGCTGCAGAGCCTCCTACAGGAAACAAAAGATCACAGCATCAAATACAGTACTGCTCAAAAGTAATTTGACAGCCCTACAACATACAATTCCTAATACTCGACTATTGATGCTCAAAATGTGTAAAAGATGGTTCTAACCTTCTCATTTTACATTGTACATGTAAGTGCTGATTGAAAAGAGAAATGTTTAATAGATATCAGTCATTAACAAATCATCAGATATAAAAAAAGATAAAAATTATGTTTTTGATATTCACCTTATTGTTACTCTTGGCAATCAAATGCAAACATGACTTGTCTCTTCGACTAAAAGATTCATTGTCCCTCTCCTTATCTCCCTCAGATGAAATAATCTTTGGAGGTCGTCCTCCCTCATCACCATCCAAAATATGATAGTAAAAGTGATAGTCTAGTGGATCATCAGGGATGGTTGTCCAGGCCCCTTCAATTCCCTCTTCCTCATCATCATTATCATAGTCGTCCTTGCGCTTTGGGAGGTGTGGCCAGTGAGGGTTGACCATCTGGTCCAACACAGCAACTACTGTTTTCTGTTAAGATATCAGAAAAAAATATAAATTCATATAAATTACAGAGATAAGGAAGTACAAAACTTACCCTTCAAGTATACTTGAAATTAACAAAATCTGACCTTCATTTTGGGATTTTCAATAATTGACTTGAAACTGAAGTAAGACGGCTGAGGATCAGTCATTTCTCCTGGTCTCCACGACAACAAGCTCTGCACTCTAATAACAGTAGAACAATGGAGATAAATAAAACTAATTATTTATTAAAGAAGGTCATGAAATATTGGAAATCCTTCCATAGATCACCAAAGGGGATAATGTTTCACATTTGGCAGTAATACCCAAGAGCAATGCTTAATTCAAATTTTTAGTAGATTGGAAAGACATATTAAGGGAGTTGCTTTTTTGGGAGAGGAGCTTGATGAAGATTTTTGGTTCAAAACCTCCTTTTCTTCAACAACAGCTCATTTTTCATGATTATTATTATTATTATTATTATTATTTTTTTTTTTAATACAGCCTTAAAATCCTGCTTTTGTCCAATCTCTTATTTAAAGCTTCTTCCTTTTCCTTCCCATTGTATCAGTTCCAAATGTCTCCAAGATACCATTAATCATTGCACTAATGAAATACCTTTCATGCCACATCATTCTAATCATATAAGCTGCAACTTCATCATTCTCTGCTATTAGAGCCAATTCAACTGGTAACAAGCCTCTTCTCTTCTTGGGTTTAAGCTGAGCCTTTGTTTTCAGAGCAAGCAATCCTGGACATTTCTTCACAAGTGTTTTAGTGACATGTAAAAAGCCAAGTTCTGCAGCATAGTGTAACAATGTCTTTCCTGTTTTGTCTTCTACATCTCTGAACATCTCATATCTGTTGCCTGAGTTTAGTTCACTTTCCAACAGAATTACCAAGAACTTAGTTATCTGCAAAACACAAGGCAATGATAAAATTAAATACTTCTTTCATAATATCTAAATTTGAGGATATTTCAATCAGTATGCTTTTATCAAGAAATGTAAAAGAATATTTTTAAGTTACAGAAAATATGAAATAACTGAAATGCACGATGATTGCATGGAATAATTATAGCTCTGGCCATCAAAACTTATCTAGAGAGTCCTGTATTATGTCCAAAAAATTCTCAGTTCTATGAAGGTTAATTAAAGTTCTCCAGAAGGATTAGCCGATGGCATTTTTACCAGCTACTCCATAATGATCCTAGATTGCTATCAGACAAAAGAGTAAGACACTTTTCTTAAGTGCAAATAATTAACATGAAGTTAATAGATAGATAGATAAATCGTTTATTAAAAAGAAACACCTCGCAGTCCGAAGACTGAATTACGTGTATAATATACAAGAAACAAAATTCATTGTTAAAATTATAAGTTTGAAAATCTTAATAATAAAAATATACAAATCTAATAAAAACGTTCCACTTAGGATGATCTTGTGTTAAGAAAATATACATACTTAAACATATTTATTTACATCCTTAGGCTATTGCTAACAACAAAAGATTTTTTAAGACGATCAGTCTTGCACACTGGCACGTTAAACTTCCTATTGCTGCGCAGCTGCCTGTGGTGCTCAGCTTTAGGTGGGAGCAGGACTGCGAGCTTGTGATTAATGTCAAGAACAATGTCATTAAAAAGATCAAACGATAAAGATGCTCTCCTGCCGTAAAGAGAGGAGATGCCTGCCTCTTTGAGCGCGCTGTTGTAGCTTGCATAAGGAAAGATAATGCGCAAGGCGCGCTTCTGA